AGTGAAATTTGTCTCTGAATTCAACTAAATCTCCTCTTCTGTCCACATCGTAGCAACTCATAATGAGAGCCGAGGTATCAAATGATGGCCCTCAGGCTCCATAAATCATATATACATGTATATGTGTGCAGGTGCCTAAATGGCATTCCCCTTTCCATTAAATTAACCTACTTGCTACATATTAAATTTGAAATGAAAATTGAAAAACCAAAAGCGTTTCTTCTCACCTCTATCTAACCTAAATACTTCATTCCCACAAACATTTCCTGGCAAAAAAAAGCTTTTCTGTATTTCTCTCAAAGATGCCCTAGGTTCACACTTTGACTCAAACCTATGCTACAGACTACATAAAAGAAATCATTCTTCTAAAATTATTTATCCAAAAATTCCTGGTTGCATTAATATCAGGCTGCTTTACCAAAGTTTAAATGAAAACTGAACATTTTAAATTACTTAAATCTTCAGTTTAGTTAATTAGTCCTCATTAGAGGCTGCTCATTCTTCCATGCTAAAACATTTGGTGAAATTCTTTGAGTCACTTCAGAAACTGCTTAATATTCAGTCCCCAGAGTATGTCCATGAAGAGTTCTCGCCTGCATATTCAATACCTTCCTTTTGCAAACATAAGAGAAGAAATGAAAACAGACAAGGCTGAAAAGGAAGACCCTCTACACTACTCTTCACAGCAAACTGGCGTTCTATGCATTAACATCCAACCCTACACCCATCAACACCATTAGGAGGGGCACATAAAGCTTATAACAATTCACATATTTCATTTTGCTAAGTTTTTTTTTTTTTTTTTTTTGGCTGAGGAAGATTGGCCCTGAGCTAACATCTGCTGCCAATCTTCCTTTATTTTTTCATATGTGAGTCACTGCCACACTATGGCTGCCAACGAACGGTGTAGATCCACACCCAGGAACCAAACCAGGGCCACCACAGCAGAGCACACCAAACTTAACCACTAGGCCACAGGGCCAGATCTGATTTTGCTAACTTTTGAACCAAAAAAATTTGAGCCAAGTTATAAAAGTAAGCCTCTATTTGGATTACAGGGCCCAATTCCAAAACCAAAGAATTAGCTTTTCTGGAGAGTTGTGCATTATTTGTAGCTTAATCAAATAGACATAAATCTCTGAAAGGCTCCCTTTTTATGGGGCTATTTTTGTCCACAAGTGTGATAGGATATACTCTGATTTTAATTCTGATCTGGGAAATCATAACCCAAGGACAAATGTATGCTTTCTAATCAACCCCATTTCACCAAAACTGTTCAGGCCTTTATACTGAGATAAGTTCTGTTTAAAAATCAAGCAGAAAATTCAGACTTTCATTTCTAATAGCCTGACCTCATGAGGCCACTGAAATTTTCTCCACCAGCTTCTCAGAAGGTTGCCATTTTAATCATAGAGCACTATCATCCTTTTAGAACTAAATAAACATCTGCACAAAACACAGCTGTGTCCAGGGTACCCACAGTCTAATATTTAAAGTCTACTTCCTGATTCAAAAATAATAGATGCATTTCCAAGGTGACAATTTAGCCAGAAAGGCAACATTTCACTTATACATTCAGCAAATAAGTACACAGGTACACAGCTGTACAAGGCCCTGTGTGGTAATGGACATAAATATACTTCTTTCCTTAGAGACATGTACACTCTGATAGGACAGTCAAGATTTTTCTCACCACAAGCATCCTCCACAGATAGAACCCAGGTTACTACACATCCTTCTAGGGGCCTTGCAGTCTCTCTTATTCTATACTTCCAAGAAGTGGAGCTGACAAGACAAGATGGCTTCCACAGCTCCTGGCCCTCTCCCCTTTCTTCCCTCTCCTGCAGCGTCTGTGCACCAAAGTCTCTGGCTGCTTATTTCCACCACTTTCCCTTGCTCCTCTCATCCTGGCCCTGCCTGTGAAATACAGACCTTGATATCTTCTCTTTCTCTCCAGAAATCAGACCATTCTCACAGCTTTACCTTCTCTTTGGGGAAAATTCACACATTTAAGAACTTCGAATTTATGTGAGATCCAGCACTGATGTGGATATCCCTTAAACTCCTTAAATTCAACCTGAGCAAAATGGAATGCCTGATCTCCCCACTAAAGCCAGGTCTTCTGTCTTAAGGACTTCGACGACTTCTTTTCCTCAGCACCCCGCCAACCCACCCACCTGATCTGTTGCCAAGTGACATGATACACATCCCTTCTTCCCATCACTATTGCTACCAATCCTAATCGAGGCACTTGAATATTCCAGAATTTTTCCAAGTGGGTTCCTACATCCTCTCTAACCCACCTTCAGTGATGCTATCACATTAACTTTTTGAGAGAAGATATATGTACTCAAGAACCAGAAGGCTTGGTTTCAAATTCCAGCTCTGCTAATTCTTCCTTCTGTGACCTTGGGTGAGTTACTTAACCTCTCTGTACCTTACTCTCATCATTTGCACAATAATGATGATAATAGTATCTGCCTCATAGAATTGTCATGAAATGAAATAAATTAATAATTGTGGAGCACCTAGAACAGGGTCTGGCATGCATTTAAATTCTCAATAAATGTTTGCCATTATTTGCAATTAGCACAAACCCAGTCATACCATGGCCTGCCCCAAACCCTCAAGGGAGTCCTACTTCGTACCAAGGAAACTGTGGTTCCTCACCTCTGCCCCCAACTGACCTCTTAGCTTCATATTCCACATCCCCATGTGACTTGTATGCACATCAGGCAAAGTGGAGGATGTACTGTTCCCTGAACACACTCCAGAGCCTCCCTCCTCATCCGTGCTGTTCTCGCTTCGGGGATCTCACATCTCCGCCTGTCCTCCTTCAAGCCAATCCTAATTCTTCCGTGACGCCTTCTCTGACCCCCTCAACCAGATGTGCTCCCATCCACCTGTGAATTCCTCCTAGCACAGGGGTTACGTTTCTCTCACTGCAGTTATCATTTCTATACCTCTCACGGCAGCCCTGTCATTCTCCCTACAGGTTTGGAGCTCTCTGAAGGTAATACATGCGTTCATCATCATTGTATTCTCTACATCATCTAGCCACGTGTAATCTGTTGGGGTAACAAGAAAGATGGATTTGTGGGTGATCAGAAGCACAGCCACTCCTGCAGCACAATAGTTGGGCAAGTCCAAAGGCAAAGAAGTACACACTCTCCCCGGACTGAAGTCCTCATCATAGTTTCAAATGACATCAAAACTCACAATATAAATTGGGTGGTCTCTCCAGCAAGAAACACAGTAGTATAAATATAAGAGGAATGTGATTTGTAGCCCTATTCTTAAATACCAACATTAAAATCACACCAAAAATGTCCCTCACCTACCAACACTAGAATCAAAAAACCAAGGAGCCCTGTGCTTAGTTGGCTAAATGTAATTTTCTGCTAGATCTACCATCTAGCAATCCCAAGACGAGCAACTCAGACCTCAATGACTGGAGCTTGATCAATGACACATTAACCACCTCTGGTACGTTAGTCACTACAGAATTGAACAGAATGGCATATGCACAGTCCCTACCCTCAGACTCACGAGAGGTTCCCAAACCCTAAACTCACAAACAGAAAGCCACAACAACGCACATTCCCAACAATAGAGTGAATACTCAATAAACACTGCAGGCAGTGACATCATCCAGGTACAAGGGTCAGAGAGCGGGAGCATTACCCCATTCTGTCTGGGAGCAGAGCTGTAATCTGACACCACAGATTTAGACCTCTTTGCTGCAGCAACTCTGGGCATTCATGAGCAGCAGCAAAGGGCTCTTTCATTCCCACTTTCACTCCAGCCATTCAAGAAGCATCCTGCTCCCAGCACCACTAAGAGAAATGTCCCAAAGACATCAGTTTCAAGAATCCTTATGAGCAAGTGACAATTAAAGACTGTTTTCCCTCAAATAAAAGATACGTTCTTGAAGGTCAAGACTATTCTCACTATTTGAATGCCTGGTGGTACCCACAAATTCATAGGCATAACTGCCAAGATCCCTTTTAACAGGACAAGTCCTAGGAAGCTTACTAGCGTGACTATGGTTCATGTAACGATGTTCATTTAATTGCATGTTTGGTTAAAACAACAAGAAAGTAAAATTAAATGTTTAAGTTAGACTATATTAGACTAGTCTGAAACACCAGCTCTTTTAATAAAAAGACATAATCGAGTCAGTTCCTCCTTTTTATTCCTTATTATCTCTTGCTTTTACTGAATAGAGATTTATCTCTCTTTACTTAAATTTTTACTATACTTAAAGAGTTAGGGTATCTTTTTCTTGTAAATTAACGGTCTTTCACAGAAAACAGTTCCCTACACTTATCTCCCACTCTCAAATCCTAATCCCACAGAAGCAAAGTAACCAAAGAAAGTAACTCAGCACTCCTCGACCAGCTCTTCACAGGCAAAGAAAATAATACTGTCAGGGAGGGGGCACCCAAATAAAGTCACTCAATCAATAACGTGTCATACAGGTGAAATCTTACTCATAGATATGACTTGGATACTGTTCCCTGCAGCTAATGTGTCCCACTTCCCGAAAATGAGCTGCACAAACAAAAACCTCCTGGGAGACACCAGAAGCCTTGTGACCCGGAGAGCTGAAGCACCTGTAAGACACACAGCGCCCTGTGCTCCGCGGCTGCTCCATAAATACTCGGTCACTGATTCACAGGCCCATGACGGAGTCCACCAGCACAGAGTGCGTGTCCCCCTGGGCCTCCCCTGGGGAGTGGGAGGAATCGACAGCCGCAGTTGCTGTGGCGGCAGGAAGAACTAATACAGACAAATGTCTAAAAGGACTGAAGTGCTGACAGGTTCCAACTACACCAACTTTCCCTGCACCTCTCCCCAGGCACCTGAGCCTAAACAAATGATACTGTTACTTGCAACACTGGGGGAAAGAGAATAAAACTGCCATAAAGGTGCACAGTGTCTGCTCACCAAAGAGCCAACTAGCTAAATGGTTGAGAAAAAACAAAATAGAAACTTACTTTTCATAGACCAGCTCCTCATCGATGGAGAAATAGTGGGTATTTACTGTGCTTTTTGGTCTATTCCTTAAAGTAGCAAAATATAACCGATCTGAAAGACAAGTTTAAAAGACGAGAGAAAACATATGAGAAGCAGGGAAGCTGGAGGTGGCGGGCGGTGATAATACACGAAGGATCAAAATAACTGCTACCCATTATTTAAAGACCCCATGAACACGCAGAATTCTTGCAGAAACCTGACCTCTCCCAGAAAGCGGCGGAGACCCAGGAGCACAACAATTAGAAAAGCAAGAACATCTGACTGAGGGACTCAGCGAGGGCCTGAGCTCCCATACGTCCCTTGGTTCAGGCCAGCGGGGACAGATAGAAGCCGGGGGTGCCCGTGGAACTGGAGATGCAAGTTTGGTTCAGAAATCTCCAGATCTCAGCAGCCGCGGAAGGGGAAGAGAGAGGCGCGCCTCTCCCCTGCAGCTCAGGCGACTTCAAGAAGAGGAAGGGAGGAGAGACAGGGGGGTGTGGTGGGGGGGGGGGGGAGGGTCCTGAAAATAGAGGCCAGCAATAGTAGGATAAAGGCGATCTAAAGGATCACCCGGAGCAGGATCCCCACGAACTGCGTGCAGGAGCCCGGCGGAAGCCGGCGCTGTCCCATTACCGAGCGGAGAGGCCATCTGAGGGAGCTGCAGAAGGAACGAGGGACGCAAGAAAGACAGAGAAGCCGGAAGCAGGGGGTCCTCGGGGAGAGGATAGTGCCGAGAGGGGACGAGAGCGCGCGCAGCGGCTGCAGGACACTGGGGGCCCAAGGAGAAGCCGGGGGCAGCGGTTAGAATGTAGGGGCGAGAAGTGAAGAGTTGGGGGCGAGGGAGGGTTGGAGGATGCGGGGCGGCTGCTTCTCACCTTTCATGAACTCGCAAGCCCCGATTAGTTCCCCTGACTCCGCTGCCATCTTAAGCGAGATACGCACGGGGGAGGGCTGGGTCGGGGCCAGTTGAGGTCACCCGCCCCGGGGGGCTTCCCCACTGCCCAGGAGCCGGGAAGCTTGCAGACCCGAACACCGAGCCGGCCCGAGAGAGGCAGCAGGCGCCGAAGGCGGCGGCGGCTGGGGGGTCAGCGCGCCAGGAGCCCCGGGGACATTCCGTGGGGAACCCGAGCCCGCTCCGCGCGGGGCGCACACGCCCCGGGTTGTGGCCGCTCCGATTCGGACCGGGCTGCTGCTGCTGCTCCGCCGCCGCTGCCGCGCCTGGGAAACGCAGACCAGCTCTCACGGCCGGGCAAAGTCTTCCCCCGGCTCCCAAAGTGATCATGGAGGAGGAGACGTCTGGCACCGATCGCGCCCGTGGCTACTCGTGCAGCAGCGGGCAGGACCCCGGTGCCCGCGGGCTGGCAGCAGCTGCTCTGGCTCCTCCTTCGCCACCTCCTTTCAGCAGCAACTCTTCCTCCTCCTCCTCCCCCTAGGTCCGCCCCCAGACCTTCCTCCCCGCCCTCCCTCGGCCCCCTCCACTTTCACGGCTCCGCGGCCATCCCTTAAAGGGACAGCCCCGCTCCTTTCTCCGTGTCGGCCCCGCGCCCCAGTTACGAGGCGCTCTGCGGGTCACTAGGAGCCGGTTGCTAAGGCTTTGTTGTCGTCCACCAATTGCTATACAGGAAACGGGGCCGTCGGCCCAGAGGAGCCAGGCGGGGCGCCCGGACCAGAAACTTATGAATGAAGCGGTGGAGTTGGGAGTGGATGTCCGGGAGGGCGAAGTTGCAGCTTCACAGGCAAGGATGCGCCGACGCCCCTTTCCTGCACCCACTAAGTCTTCTCCCACTCCAAATTTTTCTTCTCTGTCTCATTATTTTTCTCTCTCGCCCCACTCACCCACGTTCCTCTCAACTCTTACATGTAAGCGCACACACACACACAATTAAAGATCTCAGATCTCCGTGTCCTGCCTTACCTATAGCTAATCTTTCAACCAACCCCCATCCCCACCACTGATGGATCTCCTTCTCTATAAAAAATAAATTTAAAAAAGAAGCACTACCTCCTAGCTCAGAAGAACACGTACTGGTTTCCTCTACACATTCTAGACTCTGGTATAATTTGTGCTTTGTTCTTACGGAGGAAAACGTTCCCATCCGGTTCCCCACGTCCTTTCATGTGGGCCGCCACTGTGGGCTCAAAATCATCACAAATGCCTAGCCTTTATATTGCTCTGGTCCAGGAGGGGGGCGGGGCAGGGGAACAAGGCCAGCGGGGGGAGGGGGGAACGGAGGAGAGCGGGACTCTAGTCCACGGGGGAGGTTAACACAAAAGAATTGCTTTACGTAGAGTTGGCTGAAGCGCTGCAGGGAGTGGTTCCTCTCAAAGAAGCCCTTGAGGGGTTTCTGTGAGGCTCCTCATACGGCCTGAACAACTGCAACGCCGAGTGTCCTCTACGGACGTGCCTAATTAGAAGGCAGTCCCTTCGATATGAAAATGGCGCTACAGACCCATCATCAGAGGAGCATGCGCTCTGAGTGGTTTCCCCGCAAACGGGGCTTTACGCCGGCCGTGGGATTCGCAGTCGGTTGTTTACTTCTTGGGAGAAAGGGGGCGCGCAAGTGAGGAGCCGACTGACTGAGTTCGGAGCAGCGCTTTGAGGCCAGCGAGGAAAGCTCAACTCATTGGTCTTAGCCCGTTATTCAACTTTGCTGGCTAAACAGTCACAAAATGATAAACGAATGTTACTTAGATATTCGGAAAAAATATTCACAACATCTCGGTGATTTTAATCGGATATGTTCTTGTAAGATAGTAAAAAGAAAAACCTATCCGAACATCCAAATCTTCAAACTCTCAGGCTAGAACCATATAAAATTGAAGCTGGAAGAACCACTAAAGAGGACCTTCTACCGCCCCTAATCTTCACGTGAGAAAAAAATATCTCAAAAGAGTTTTTAAAACTGTAAAAAGTCCTGAAAAGATGAGTTGTAATGAGTGCGCCACTCTTTTGAGATGCATTCATGGTTTACGGGCCGCCACAGGGAAGCACCTCAAACATGTTGTGCATATTCACACAATGAGTTGAATTTTGCCTATTTGTTCCCTCTAATCTTGGTGTCAACTATCATGTTGTCCAATTCAAATTATTTTACTGAAATATTCTAATTGAAATTTTATATGTGAAAGATATGGAAAAGCAAAGTATATAAATATACTCAATGAGGTCTCAATAAACGTATCTACTTTGTTGAAAAGGCTAAATTAATTCAAAAATGGCGATCTATTTCCAAATTTATGATTTCAAATTCATGTAGTCACTTAAGAAATTTCCCAACAATTTCTCATCCAAGTGTTGTATTAGAAAAAGATGTCCAAGTTCTCATTCAATGCGTAAACTTTTAGTTTCACAAAGTGCAGTCTTAGAACTCTAAATCTACACTTTCAGAGAAGGCAGATTTAATTGAATACCCTCTCGTTATTTTCTAAAATGAATTTACAAAAACGTTTTCTTTCATATAATTCTCCAGCTTAGAAATTTTCGTCATGAGGAGTGAATCATGAGTTGAACAAACAGAAGTCCTTAAAATTAAGAACTGAAAATGCAAAAGTTTATCTTTCCTTAGCATATAACAATATGAAATTTTTGGAGTTAACAAGACTCTAAGTAATTTTTTTATTGTTTCATGAAAGGAAAATAAGTGATTGTCAGTATAATCAAATTTCTCTAAACCAAAATCCATACCATCTAAATGGTATAGAAAATTCTATAAGAAAAATGGTGAACAAGATAGTACGCACACAGCACACACATGTCAAGGTTCTAATGAGATCATAAAACACTATTCTCTCAATTGTCATACAGTCAAAGTTCCTATTGGTTGTAGTTTCATAATAAAGGCATGATTTCACAGTCTCTGGAGGAACATAATGGAAGAAACTTCTTGCCAATCACCCAAATTAGTATAAATATTAGGAATTTACTTTTATTTTAAACAACAATAAAGAAAGGTGTTTCAAGCATTAAGGAAATACTAAGAGAATTAAGATATCACTCAACTGCAGAAAAGGAAGGTAATGTTATACATAGAAATTTAGCAGTTAAGTCTAGAAGTGTCTCAGGCTTAAAAACGACAACATTTGGTCTCACTGTGCAAACATTACTTGAATTCTGCCTGGGACACCCAGAAAGACAGTCTGCAGCCCTTGCCTGTGCACCTGCACAGCTACAAACTCACTGCTGGAGGCAGCTTCAACATACGGCTCCACCCTCTGGTTCTCATTCTGCCCCCTCAAGCTGCAGTGAACGCCCTTAGGCACCCTTGCACACAACGACTCTTCAAAAATGCAAAGGCAGCTCCCTTGGACCGCTTCTTCTCTTTTCCCCAGATTAAAAGCTCTCTTTTCTTTAAGCTCTTCTTGAATTACATGGCTTCACGCCTCCTTGCTGTCCAGTCCTCTCCTCTCCAGTTTGTCTGTGTCCCTCATAAAGTGTCTCAGAACTGAACGCAGGCCAGTGGCGACCTGGTGTGTCCAGTTCTGAGATCAGAAAAAAAGCATTAGTGGGAGAATCAGATGGGAACAAAAGCAACGAAAAACATAAAAGAACTAACTTGTCATTTAGCTTCAAGAGAAAAGGAAAATATTCTCTCTTGTTGGAAGAGGGCAAAGAAAAAGTCACCTATGATTGCCAAAGGCCTGACAGCTGTGATATTTACCTATTCTATTCTTTTAAATTATCATTTCTCATTAGAACAGGCTCTTTCAGTTGCTTGTTCAGTCATGATGATGTTATTTAAGAAAGTAAAAGAAAATATAGAATACGTACTTTAAATTCTTTCTAAAACTTAATTTTCAGTTTAACTGTGAAACAAGAAGTAGAAACCTGCACTGCTGAATGATATGAAATTCAAAGTAATTTGAATTGTTTAAATATTTTGATAATTAACTTCTTGACTGATGCCGAAAATAATTTACAGCAGCTTTTAGTGAAATGTAGATACCAAAAAGAAGTTATTACAGTACAACCACAATACCAAAAGTACCTAGACCATGTGGCTTATGAAATAGCTGCCTGCAGACGCTAAGATCTTGGCCTAACCCAGCCATATTCTGCATCACACTAATCACCAATGCCTGTTTAAGAATTGCAAAACAAAATCAAAGATAGTAAGAACCAGAAGGGACCTGAGAGATCAGCTAGTTCCAGTTTTCAAACAGCTCCATGGAGCACAAGGTGACAGAGGCCTCACCTGGGGATGGGGGTGGACAGTGATGGGTGAGCAGGCAGGGATCCTACAAAATATTTCACTAGTAAAAGATTATGGGGCAAAATAGAAGAAAGAAAAGGGAAGAAGAAACTGAGGTGTATAGTGGGTAAATGTTTTCCAAAGTGACAAACGTGATTGGTGGTAAAAATAAGCCCAGTATTCATTATTTTCTCTAATACCAACTATTGTTAGCTTATCTTACATTGTTTAGCTCATAGGTTCTTAAGCTTTTGAGATGATAAAATATCAAGCAATAATAGTGTATATGTATAATATCTTAACTAATTTCTTCAAAATTTTAGGGAAAATATCGAAAGAATTTAAACAATGAAAAAATACAAGATGTGTTATCTGCCATTACTATTGTTGACATGTGGCCTTTACAAAAATTTGAATTATTTTCCCACCCTTGTGAATTATTAATTGCATACCAGCATTCTACAGAACATAATTTAAGAAATACTGGTTTTGTGAGCAGTAAATAAAACAATTCACTTCAATAATCATCTCATCCTTGACTAATGCAGCCAGTAAAGAAAGATGAAGTTTTAGAAATTAAATGGCCAGGTCAATATACTTAATAATGCTCAATTTATTGGCCAGTTTGCTATATTTTTCAAATAGGCTAACGTCTCAATGCAGTTTTTAAATTTAAAGAATTTATCCATGTATATTTATTTGTCATTCCTACTCTTTTTGGAGAAAAAATAAAGAAGGGAACATTTTTTTCTCCAAAAATATATAAAATAATATTCCTCACCCCATCACCACTACCTCAATTACTAACACTCTCATCACCATCACCCTGCTGAGAAAGATCAAGTGAAGTTTATGCTTTAATCTCATGTTTCTAATATTCGCTCCCATATGCCTGTTTAATACATGTCCCTACTATACTCTGTACATTTTTCTATCAGGAAAATAATGATAGTTAGTAGTTAAGTTTTATTGAAAACCAAGCACAGCAATTTATCTCAGTTCTCACATCAGTTTCCTATGAGGTAGATACTATTATTATTCCCATTTTACAGATGAATAAACTACCACAAAACAGATGCTCAACAAATATTTGGAGAATGAATAAGTAAATGAGTAATGAACATGTTGGGAGATGAACTTATGTGCATCACTTGGATAATAAATCAGTTCCTTTATAGCTTAAAGCAGTGGAAATAATACTGAATTTACAAACAGAAACCCGGGTTTCAGGCATTACACTATCACCAACTGTATATGCATTATCTT